TGAAGATGTAGAGGTTGTGATCCCCATCTGTGGGGCAAAGGGAGGAGTGAAGAAACCTCATCCCAGCTCCCAGCCAGCGCTCCCCGGCTCCCCTCTCCTCCCTGCACAGCTCCACGGGGCTTTGGGGATGCTCAGGGCTTGGAGGCTCCCTTCTGCCTCTTCAGCTGCCCCCTCAGCTTCATCCATTGCCTCCAGTCCAGCCTGGAGAGGGTAAGAACTGGCCAGCTTGTCCTTCACAGCTGAGCTCCTGCAGCAGATCAGCTCTGCCATGGCACAAGCTTTAGGGTGTTTTCCCCTCTCCCAGCACACCAAGCCATTGCCGTGTCCTCGAGATGCTCCACGTTGTGGGCAACATGCATCAGTGATGCCACCAGCCCCAGAAACACATATGGGGCTGTGGAGCAGCCAAACCCACCTTTCCCACCACTGGAGCTTATCAGAGCAGAACCAGGGTGCAGCAGCAGGGTGAGGGGTGGGGGTATGTGTTTTGGGAGAGGGCAGCACCGACCAACACCCACCAGCGGTTATGGCATCGAAGAAGGAGTGGCAGTAATAGGGGCTGAGGCTCCTCTGATGCTGGTCCCCACCATAAAGGTCAGTGCTCCAGTCCTGGAAGTGAGTGAAGACCTTTCCTGGGAGCTGGATGGCTGAGCCCTTCAAGGGCTTCCCTGGGATGGAGCAAGGAGCAAGGGGTGGTGAGTCGTGGAGAAGGGGCAGGGAAGCAGCTTTCCCCAGCTCACTGGGCAGGGCTGGGGAGCTGTGCCAGGGCTCCAAACGCTCCTTCTCCCATTGCCTGGTTCCTGTCCCCCTCTACATGGTGGTAGCAAAGACCCCTTGACACCCTCAAAAAATCATGCCTCACCGTTTCCCTGGTTGCAAACAAATGGGCAGAAAGTCCAACTTTCTTTACTCTGGAGGACCTAGTCTCCATCCTACATGCCCTACCACCTCTTCCTGCCCAACCTCAAAGGGATGGGGCCCATCCCCACCACGCCCCTTGCACGTAGTCCTCTCCCCTTGCAGGAACCTGCTCCCCTCCCTGCTCCTCGCTCTCCACCCCGGGCAACAACCCCGGCAGAACCGAGGGATGCTCGCGGAAGCTCACCGTACAAATTCTGGATGGCCAAGACGTCGTCCCAGCTGAGGACAAAATCCTTGCTGAGCTTCTTGTAGTAGGGAGACATGAGGGCGCTCTTGACGGGGGAGTGCTCCAGCCCCAGGGTGTGCCCGACCTCGTGTGCCACCACGACGAAGAGGTTGCGGCCCTTGCCGCTGCGCAGCGACCAGCGCTCGGCGCTGTCGAAGTGAGCTTCCCCCCGCCGCGGGAAGAAGGCGTGGGCCAGGGCACCTCCTGGGGGCACAGGAGCCGTCAGGGACCACGGAGAGGCCCCCAGGCACAAGCCGAGGGGCAGGGGAGGGCACGTGCCCCTCTGGTTTGCTTCCATACGCAGCAGTTTTAGGGGTTTGGGAGCATGAAGAGAAGCTTCCCACAACTATTTCTCGCAGAAGGTACGACCCACACCAGTTCTGCCTTCTGCTCCTGTGCTTGGGGTGGGGTTTGTCTGCTCTGTGCTTTATGTCTTTGGTTTCTTCCTGGGCTTGGGCCAAAGGCTGAAGCCACCGCAGTGACCTGTGCTAGCCAAAAGCTTTGAGAGGGAGAACCTGGGCTTGTCAGCGGCTAGGCAGAAAGGCTCAGCTGGAATAAGCTCAGGTTTGGGGGATGCTGTCAGGCCAGGCAGGGCTCCTTGGAGGCCATCAGCACGATGCTATAATGAGTATCTCAGCTGCCTTGCTGGCAGACCCCTGTTGCCGAGCTGGGAACGAGGACCCCAAACCAAAAAGCAAACTGGTGCAAACTGGGACAGAGGGACTGCGGGGGCAGAGCTCTGCCTCCAGCACACCCAGCCCATCACCTCCCCAGCCCTCCCCCCTGCCGGGGAAGAGCCCACGTTGTAAAAGAGCAGCTTACGAGGGGGAAGCGACCAGCACCTGGTCCGTCGAAGGCGTTGCTGAGCCCGTCGTTGTGGTCCCCGTGGAAGAAGGTGAGGCGGATGTCGGCCGGGCCGTCCCGTGCCTCCCAGAAGAGCAGGGAGGACACGTTGCTCCAGAGCTGGAAGGCGGCTCTGACGGCCAGGCGCACCTCGTGCTGCGGCAGGTAGGAGGGCCAGTTCACCACCCGGTAGGTCAGGTGCCTCTTGTACCACCTCCCGCCTGCAAAAGGGGTCAGCTCAGCACCACGACGGGGGCTCGGGCTTGTTCTTCCACCCCGGGGGCTGCCTGGGGAAAGGGAAGCCCCCCTGGTGCTGGGATACGCCATGGCTTGCCCAAGCTGAAGGTGAAGGTCAAGCCGGGTGTGCCACCAGCAGCCTTGGCACCCTGCACC